GTCCCGCTGTTGACTGGTTGCCCGCTCCTGTGAAGGTCTCTGTCATAGTCTACACCCTGTGTAGTATGAAGGGAGACACATTACTAGATGTCTACTACTAGTCACTGCTAGCCACTGCTAGTGGTAGTCTCACTGTCTGCTCACACTGCATCCCGGTTGGGAGCAGGAGCAGGTGCAGCGTGTGAATGTATGTGACTTTTCTAAGTTTGCTTGACTTTACTTGGCGCATTCGAACAGAATTGCAGCACCCAGGCCTGCAGTCTGCTCGGATCTTTTCCTCGTCTTTCCCGCTGCTTCTCTCGTTTATTGGCCAATCTTGTTTAGGATACAATGGCATCACCCTGATCCTCCCCCTGTCCGCTGGGTTGTGCCACGGCACATTGCTGTACTGGCATATTGCTGTACTGGTACATTGCTGTACTGGCACATAGCTGTACTGGCACATTGCTGTACATGCACTGCTATATTGCTGTACTGGTTCGTTCTCTTCTTTTTTTCCTTTCTCTGACACCAGGCCATGGAGGCATCATGTCACCACTGTCACTCGTTTTCAGATACAATGTATGTGTAACTTAGTATCCTATACCCGGTACCCAGTAACCGGTACCCAGGAACATACAGGCAGCCATGTCTCAAAGTTTGTCTTTTCCTTTGTTTTGTTAGTTTTGAAGTGAATACTTTAGGTTACCGGTACTTCTATTGAAGTGCAATAGTTTCCAGTGAATAGTTACCATGGCAACAGTGGCGTGAACTTACTGTTGTCTACGCTACGCTGTAGTGACCTCATTGATGTCGGTCTGCTGTGCAATGCAGCAGGTGTACGAGTCGTACTCGTACAGACTCGAACTAGTTAACTGTGAAGCCAACGTCTTTTATGAGTTTTATTATTAGTAATTTATTACACAGACGCAGTGTGCTTAAGTTAGGTTCTGCGAAAGTGCTCAATACAATCATATACCTGATTCAGTCAGAGCGGCGTACACAAAGGTACACAATGAAAACCTTGGTCAAATTCCGTTGTTGTCTGATGATTTGTTCAGCCATGAAACTCTGAGTGGAATTTGCCCAATGCTTTAATTGTGTGCCTTTGAGTTTTATTAATAATTTTTTTAAATTGTGTATTAAAACAGCAAGTACACCATAGCTACAATCAAGAGTCCATAACCCCCCAGAGTGTGCAACTCCAGGTTGGGGTCTGGCGCAACGAAATCCAAACATTGCGTCATCCGGTCCCCGGGCAAGCATGCGCGGATGGGGCCATATCCCCATGTGCATATCTGGTACATCCGGCGGGGGTTTCAAGTTGAAGGTTGCTTTGAAGCAAGCCACGGAAGTGTCACGTAAAACGTTTGCTGCACGGGCTATGCAGTGTCAGCAGAACGGCTTTGATTTCACAGTCACAGAATTTTTTTATTTGAAGAGAGTTTCTCTGCTCGTTGTCTGAAAAGCTTGTATTGGGAGAGTTCGTGACTCCGGGATAGCAAGAATAGGCATGGATATAGATTTACAAGATTTGATGGAAATAGCTCTTGGCACACGGCATGAAGACCCGATCGATTTCGAAGTAGATGTGCTTCAACCTGCAGTGAATGTTCCTGCTGGGTTCACAACCAGACGGTTCAAATTGACGGGTGTTCCATTGCATGTGAGAAGCACAGACTTGGAGCAATAAATCTCTATCCAGGTGCTGGAAGAATTAACAATTTCCAACACTCGACAATCGAGAGAAGAAAATGAGGAGCCCAGATCGAACAAAAACTGACGAATATCGTCCACAGAGACACTGCACTCCGGCGACAATGGGGAGCGCTTTGCTTTAGGTTCAACAGTGGCCATTGTTCTTCTCTTATCGGAGAGACACTCAAAAGAGAAAACTGTTCGACAACTCTAAAATAATTCTTTGTGTACTCAGTGAGCCTTTCCAGGCGTGTTACGTACAATACCTGACCGTGGATTAGTGCTGACCCGAATTTGCTAGCAATTCTTCTAGCAAAATATCGAAGAATTTTGAAAGGGAATTTGCTGGCAAAATGGAGCAAAATATCGGTGTGTTGGCTGGGAATTGGGAGATTTTACACATATACGGTGCACATGACTCATTTCGGCACAATTTTACCAACACGTGACTCACTTTTTCTCATTTTTGCCAACACGTAACCCACTTTCGGTCAGTTTTCTCACACGTGACACAAATTTTGGAGCAAAAAGGGAGCAAAATATCGAGTGGCCTAGCAAAATGAAAGCAAAATTTCGACGATGCACGAGCAAAATTATGCCGCAAAATATCGAGATTCAGCTGGCAAATTCGGGTCAGCACTACCGTGGATTCGTAAAGAAAGACCCCAAATTGGGCAAACGGGCGAAGTAGGTCCGGGCCAAACTTCCCATTTCGTCATAGCTACTCACTACATGACGTATGAAGTTTGGATTTCGTTGCGGCACTGATTTGTGCTGAGAAGGATCACGAGTTGCACACTCTGGGGGGTTATGGACTCTTGCTACAATGTATGTGGTTAGTAACAGGGAGTCGATATTTTACGACTCCCTGGTTAGTAACTTAGTGCATCGCTGACCTCAAGCGAAGGACCCTGGTTCGAGAGAATGGAAAAGTCTGAATTTTTTCCTATACAATGTACTGACCAAGTACGAAGTCAATGTTATTAGATTTATCACGACTAGCCAAAGCCTGTGTTCAATCCCTAAAAAGGAGTCAAATATAAGCGGTCAATATAGCCCTAAGGAGTGAAATATGCAGGAATATTTGACTGCTTAGGTATAGCAAAAATCTAAGGAAATCAACACTAAGCCTCTAAGGAAGTGATAATCACCAAGATCGTGATAGCGGCTTCGGCGATGATTAGCTAAGAAAGGTGTTTGCTCCCCTCACTGAAGCTCGCGCCTTTCCGCCGACTTGACTTGACTGAGTCACAACTCGACTCAGACTACCACTGTACCAGTAAGACAACTCCCGGCCTAGAATAAAGAGGGTCAGAACCACCGGGTCTAACACCCATACCGTTCAGATGGTCAGAAAGACCGGGGCTCTGCCAACCGTGGATGGTCGTACTCATGGTGTACTTGAGTAGTACGGTCACTGTCACTGTTTCCGAACACGGTGGCCTCCGCCTTGTTTACATGCTGTCAATCAACAACACGTTTTCAACAAAACAAGGTTTTTCTAATACATGTACTCAGTATACAGTACATGTACATGTACCTTGTACAATCATGTACATGTATATACGTCATGTTGTTGGTTGACAGAATGACACAAAGTGGAGGACACCGTGTTCAGAAACAGTGACCTTTCTACAACCATCCACGGTGGTGAAGGCCTACCCATGGCCTCGTCGGGACATCACCAACCTCGTCTACAGAGAGCACCTCGTCACGACAGTGACATGGTGGTGACAGTGACTGTTGTCAGCTGACGAGCTGAGAGAGGGACGCCATGGGCAGAAGTTAGTTGGAAGAAAAAAAGAGTTTGAAAAGGAAAACAATTCAGGTTAAAATAGCTACTATGTTTTATGACTATCAAGAAGACATCCAGGAGTAATCACAGAATACACGACTGACGTTAGGAGAAGTCTAAAACAAACTCCCCTAGAATAAAGAGGGTCAGAACCGGGTCTAAGACCCACACCGTCCAGATGATCTCAACACACTGGGGCTCTACCAACCGTGGATGGTTGTAGAAAAAGGTCACTGTTTCCGAACACAGTGTCCTCCACCTAAGTCCTTGTTTCATGCTGTCAGCCAACAACATGTGTGAACTAAAACAAGGTTTAGAAGAGGTTGGTGCGACTTCGGCGATAGTAGGGGAAGAGTGTGTTGCTCCCTACATGGAAGCTCGCGGTTTTCCTGCCGACTTGAATTCTCACTTGACTGACTCACGACTGCCATCCAGAGCACACGAGAAGTCCATCGAACCGTCCACTCCGCAAACCTGCAAGAAAGCACAACTCCCTGCTCAATACACAGTGTTTCGGGGAATTCACCCCTCATCAGTTGAGCGTGAGTAGGCTGAGCTCAATTGATGAGGGGTGAATTCCCAGAACACTTTGTATTGAGCAGGGAGTGGCGCCTTCTTGCAGGTTTGCCGAGTGAACGGTTCGATGGACTTCTCGTGTGTTCTGGATCATGGATGGCAGTCGTGAGTCAGTCAAGTAAAACAAGGTTTTATAATAATAATTTTTATTAATAAATATTTTAATACCGTCACACCAATCATGACTTGTCATGTACTGTTGTGGACATGGACATCCGGTCGCACGTCTAGCGGCCCCAGGCCCCAGGGTGCTGACCATGCCGCAGCCGTGGATTAGCGGTACACACATGCATTTTAGGCGCTGCAGCGCGCTAGTCGCATCGGATCAACAGGTGCCACGCAGCGTTCTGTACGCGCTGAGGGCGCCGGCCCCGGTCAATCGACCGGATTTCCATGTCCGCTACAGTAGATCTGCATGTCCACTGTATGTAGACCATGGTAGACGACCTGATGACTTGAAAGTGCAGTGGTAGTATAGCTAGAGACGTGGAGCCTAGACGTGTGAGACGTGTGAGATGATGAGGGATTCCATGGCTGAGACGCAGCGCTAAAATGAGGTGACATGACGCACGGCCTTGGCGACATCAGACTCGGATATCTAGACAACAAGGAGTGCTGTCAAACGCGAAAGGACTGGTCTTGTTGATTCGATGGACCGAATGCAGTATCGATATCCATGACCATGCCCATGTACTGATGTAGACGTGCAGACGTGGTCATGACTTGTTTTTTGTGTCAGTAGTGACAAGTCCACAACGGTCAACGGTCTACTACAACGTCGGTCTACAATCCACAGCTCCAGCACTGCAGCACATGCCAGCTCGTCAGGCCCCTGCGCACGCGACTACACGTCTACAGAGTTCCCCCCCCCCGGCCCCAGCAGAAAAAAGTGAGTCATGCCACCAGTATCTTGTTTCCGAGGCACTTACTGCGCCGTCCCACGCATGTGCAGTCAGTGTTTATTTGGTTTGATTACAGGTAATGGAACAGGAAGGTTGTGTGGTGTTTGAGCTGGTCATTTTGTATAGCGTTTTGTCAAGAGCTCGTGCTAGTTCTGCGGGGAAGTGAAGACTCCTTGCGGCCATCACCGGACCGCGGAGTTGGAGAAGCCACTATCAATTGCCAGCTGCATTGTGCAGCATCGGCAGGTAAAGTTTACAATATTTTGTGTTTCCTGAACATACCACATATGTACAGTGTATCCGGGAATACGTGCGCTGTTACCGCACTAGGTAGAAAAGTGGCTGTAGGTCTACCTGGTCCACCCTCTTAGACTAGCAGACAACCTCGGGGGGGGGGGGGGGGGGGGGGGGTGAGGATTCAGCATTATCGTTTTATAGATTTTTACTATTTTTAACGAGTATTGCCTGCGAACACGACATGCATTATTTTTCTGCTGTTCTACTGTCATGGACATGGAAATCCGGTCGCACGTCTAGCGGCCCCAGGGCGCTGGCCATGCAGCCATGGGTAAGCAGTACACACATGCATGACATTATTATGCTGGTCGCATCGGATCAACATGTGCACTGTTCTGTAGGTGCTGAGGGCGCCGGCCCCCGGTCAATCGAATGGATTTCCATGTTCGCGACAGTACATAATATACTCGTACATACTAGATACTGTATCCGGATCAGGAACGCTGTTTCCCCATTGTAAGGCAAAGTTTTCCCCTGACCCCTGTACAAGACAACCCATTGTAAAACAATTTTAATCGAGCCCCTCCTATACAAGACAACATGAAACATTGAACGAGCTACAGGAGCTGGAAAAAAACGAATCCAGACAAATCACATTCAAACTTTCCGCCTAGCTGCTGGCAGGGGAACATTGGGCCGTCCGAGCAATTTTGTAGTCCATGGTCATATGCTTTGTCTTGTAATGACTGGGAATCGAACCTGTGAGACAGCTAAAGGTGATTTTTATAATGAATTTTTTCTACAAACGAATTGTCTCTTATCCGGATTTGCATACCGTATTTTCCCCATTAAACGTACACGTCTCCATTACTAGTACGTCCCCAATTGTAGTACATGTTGGGTGTGGATCGAAAATATAAAAGGACGGGTCTCTTATAATAGTACATGCCGGAATGATGTGATGGGCATTAGTGGGGTACAGATAACAGGGTCCACCTTACTTCGTTTTTCTTACTCGTTTATCGTCTTTGTGTCTTTGTACACTGATTCTTACCTTGGTTGGGTGTATTTACAGCCTTACAGCATCATTATCATGAGTTGTTTGCCACCCAACCCAGGCAATCAATCTTCCCAGAAACAATAAAAGTACACGTCTCCAATACTAGTACAGTCTCCTATAGTAGTACAGGTCTGACCACCTTTGAAAAAATAAAAGTACTGTACATTTATTGGGGAAAATGCGGTATACTACCATTATACAAATGAGAGTCCTCTGGCTCAGTAGAGTGCTCAAATAGAGCTATCTTACACACATCACAGAGCACCACGCATCATTCGTTGTCTATGGGCATGAAACAATAAGTTACAATGAATGATGTGTGGTGCTCTGTGTCGTGTGCACTGCCATTACATAATGTACACATGGTGTCAGGGGATTTTAGATCTTTGTCTGCTAATGACGGTTGTCTTGTAACCTATGTCGTACTAACAACGTTAAATCTGCACTAGTACACTCATGTCTCTCTAACCCGGACCTCAAAGTTACGGGCACCTACACTGTAGGTATAGCAGGCACCCTGTGGGTGGGTTCTAGTGGTAATATTACTACTCATGTTTTTGTGCAAATACTGACGTCATGTGCCAGATCTCTGTCCCTTCCCCATGCAAACGTATGTGATTGAGAGTTAGGGGCCGTCCGTAAATACATGTGTTTACTTAGAGACGTCTGACAGGCGTTTCTGGTGGGTGTGTTCGCCTGCAAGGCGTTTCTAAAAAAAACATTTCGGAGTGCATGCATACCATACCCCGCGTGTACATGTACATGTGCATGATATGTCATTGCTACAGCTAGTAGTACATGTATATGTGCATGATATGGCATTGCTACAGCTAGTAGTACATGTATATGTGCATGATATGGCATTGCTACAGCTAGTAGTACATGTATATGTGCATGATATGGCATTGCTACAGCTAGTAGTACATGTATATGTGCATGATATGTCATTGCTACAGCTAGTAGTACATGTATATGTGCATGATATGGCATTGCTACAGCTAGTAGTACATGTATATGTGCATGATATGGCATTGCTACAGCTAGTAGTACATGTATATGTGCATGATATGGCATTGCTACAGCTAGTAGTACATGTATATGTGCATGATATGGCATTGCTACAGCTAGTAGTACATGTATATGTGCATGATATGGCATTGCTACAGCTAGTAGTACATGTATATGTGCATGATATGGCATTGCTACAGCTAGTAGTACATGTATATGTGCATGATATGGCATTGCTACAGCTAGTAGTACAGGTAGGCGTTAAGACACACTACACTACACTGCACGCGTCAGGGACACATACCTGTTCGCTATAAACATGATAACGGGTCAATTTTGAAAGGATTCAAACAGGGACATGGACAAGGGTTCGCTATAATTATCACGAATTTCGCTATATGCGAGTTCGTTATAAGTGGAGTCGACTGTACTGTATATGTGTGCATAGTATCAAGAGTATATATCCCCGTTATATACTCTCGATAGTATAGTGTTGATTATGAGTGGTATTATCTGCAGTTTTGGGGGGCGTTTCTGGGGGTCGGTGGGTGGGTCAAGAAAGAAACGCCTGTTGGACATCTCTAAGTAAATACATGTATTTATGGACGGCCCCTAAGGGCCGTCCATAATTATCGATCTTTTACACGAAGAGAAAAAGCTTCGTTTATGGGTGGGTGGTCAAGGGGAGTTTCGTTTTGAAAAATATTGATATGTGAGACATCAAGGTATTCTTGCTGTCAAGTGAATCTATTTTTTCGTTCAGGGGGGGGGGGGGGTGGGGGTGGGGGAGGGGGGGGGGGGAGGGTCGTAACTAAACTTTCTCGTTTCGTGAAAATTATCGATAATGCCGGATAGCCCCTTCTGGACATTTCAGAGTTACAGGCAGTGTGTGGTCTGAGACCGCCCGGAAAAGAGAGATACCATGTATGAGTGTGAAGTCGGCGTGGAAACAAGCTTGAAATCTAAAAGAAATCAATAGTTAGGATTCAGCAAATTGAAAGATCCCTTATAAGCAGATACCGTAATTTTGGGAGTGTTAGCCGCACAGAGGTCTAAGCAGCACCCCCCCCCCCCCCCTCCCCCTAACCATCGGGTCCAACATTGTTAGTTTTGTTGACATTTGGTATAAAAGCCACACGTCAGACTGAGGCTGTGTTTACATGAGAGTTTCAACCCGGGTTGAAAGGCTGTACGATAGACAAAATAGGTGAGCGTTAACATGAAGACAGTTGACCATGGTTGACCCGGGTCAAATACTGATATGCCGCCAAAAGTCCACTTCTAGTCGAGAGTCCTGTATGGCCACGTGAATACTTTCGCGCGAAATTTGCATATCCAGTGCTATTCAAACCTGGCGCGAGATACGCACAGAAGTACGTTTGTACGATTTTCTGGCCCCCGGGTTGATTTAAACCCTCTCCTTGGGGGAGGGTTGAAATCAACCCTGGAAGAAATTTCAACCGGGTCAAGCGCAATGCATAATGTAAACGCGCCATTCATTTTGTGTACTTGTACATGGCGGGTTGAAATCGGTCGAACTCAACCCGGGTTGAAAACTCTCATGTTAACACAGCCTTACTCATACCAAGAGTACATAACCCCCAAGAGTGTGCAACTCCAGCTATGGGGTCTGCGGCAGAACTTCACAACGCGTACCGAACCAGTACACATTATTTGCACCCTGTGCATGATAGATGCAGGGTAGCACTGCTTTGGGTTCAACTCAGATTACTCTCTTGTGGTCACTTTGCACTGTTTGCAAGCGTAACCTTTTGAACAATGTCACGTGATGTGAAGTTCTGCCGTCGCAAAACCTGCATAGAGGCTGTTTCTTGTACAAGTCGAGCCCAGGGCTCAACTGTACCCCACAAGTTTAGAACATCCACGAGTTCTGAAGTTGAGTATTGGAAGATTCTCTTTTCACACAACTAAATAATTGCACACTCTGCCAGCAAGGAACAAAGGAAAAAAGCCCCGACTAAAAAGGGCTACAGGCTAATATATGCACAAGGGTAGATCCACACCGTACAGTAAGAATGCACCGGAAGCGAAAGAAACAAATACCACGCGCGCAGCGTCAGGATTCTGCGCACAGCTACAGGCAGATCACGCAGTCCGCGGTGTGGACTGAAACTCCACAAAGAAAAGTAAGTCTACAATGCACTATAACCTAAGCATCGGGCCATAGATCCATAGTGGCACCGCAATGAAACACGAGAAGGATCATGCATTCACGCAATACAGTTATGATGATCACAAGTGCAACCAGCAGCATGGATACTACGGGAATCACTACTAACGGCTATGAATGATAACATAATCACACAGTAGAAAGAGGTGTCAGGTGGTTGAACAGCAGTAGTTTTGCCAACATCCTCCCCCCGGTGACGATCCATCGGTCACCCTATCGTCGGACATCCAGGACGCAGATCTTACTGACAGGTCGTCGGAGGGTGCCGGTCTGCGTCTGCACATCTGCTACTCGCACTCGTCCGTCTGGGCCGGGATAGACAGCAGTAACACGTCCCTTCGGCCAAGTGCCTCTCGGCAGGCTTCCATCGGCGATCACAACAATGTCGTCAGGCTTCACAGGTCTTGGATCGGCACCATGCCATTTCGTCCTCCTTTGGAGGCAGGGCAGGTATTCTTTTAGCCAGCGTCGCCAAAAGTGGGCTGCGAGGGTCTGTGCTATGCGCCACTGCTTCCTGAGACAGAGGTCATCTTCCGTGAAGAGTCCTGGTGGGTGCGTCTGAGCTGGTGTCCCAGGCAGAAAATGGTTCGGGGTCAGGCTGTCCTCGTCCTTTGGGTCGCATGATACATGAGTTAACGGGCGGCTGTTCAGGGTTGCTTCGACTTCAGCGAACAGGGTCGTTAAGACTTCCTCTTTAGGAGACCTCTCGTGTAACACTGCACTCAGGGCGGTTTTCACAGAGCGAACGAG